CAGCAGCACACACACACACCCATAAGCACACTCTGCCGATGTCCTGGCCATCCACTTGGAAATTTTGGTCTCGGTTTCGAGTTCGAAACTTTTGGCCAGGCACTTGCGGTAGGTCTCTGGAGCACTGCTCTGGAAGGGTCAGGAGGAGGAGCATCATCTGCAGCACCAGTCAGTAGAAGCCGGCGAAAGTTGCAGCTAATTAAAATTTGTCTTGCGGCATTTCGGTTTATTTATTATGCTGGATGCACGAAATTAGTTTAATTAAACTGCTCCTTCAGTTTGAAGAGCTTTGAACAATTTCCAATGAAACCAAGGAAGAAAAAGACTCCATTTACACTTTCAACAGATTCAATCAATGTTGAGTGCATGCCATATTCTGGCAAACACAAAAACAAACATGCAAACGAGGAATGGAAACTAGTTACTATGGTATGGTACAGTACAGTATCATTGCTGTTTGATAAGGGAACAGGAAATGATAAACAGCGACTAATTATCCAAGTGTTTCTGTAGCACATAGCTGCCAATGAAAGGATTTATTAAGCCATACAGGATTCCTTTTAGTTTTCCGAGATATTATCATCGGTTTTCGGTAAAGGCGAAGCACAAAAACAAGGGATGGCTATAAAATACTATTGCCTTTTAGTTCAATATGCAAGATATTGTATATTTAACTGGGAAATGGGGTACAACATTCGCAAATATCAATTAATTTTAGTTAATTCATGGCATGCAACTTTGACTGATTGGACTCAACAAAATCAAACATGCAAACGAGAAATGGAAACTAAATATCACTTGTCAAATATAATTCCTACCCAACAAGAGCAAATGATGAAATTATTGATTTAGGATTGCAATTCAAAGAAATCCTATGAAAGAAATACACAAATTACAACTTGGTAATGCTTTGAATTATAAGTTCATTGAAGATATCCAATATTATAGTAATGTACTCACTTTATCTGTCTCAACGGGCTTCTGTTTGCATTCACTGCCAACAAGTCCACCTGCAGCCTGCGGCATGACAATCGGCAGCAAGGGGAACCAAAGAGATGTGGAGCCCGAAGTGCTTAGGCACAGCACATTGGGATCCGCCTCGTGGGCCAAGGCGCTCGATGCAGTTGTGCCTTGGCCAGGAGCTGGCGTATAGGGTGTCAATACCCCCAGTTCGCCTTGGAGACGAGACGTGGAGCGGGCGACATGCGTGCTGATGTGCTCGGCAAACAGCTCAAAGTCGAAGGGATCGATGCAGTCCCGCAGGTTGTTTTGCTGAGAATGGATCTGATCGTACAGAGGACGCTCCTCGCGAGAGACGGCAAACACGCGCTCCAGAAACTTCAGATCAAAGTAAAGCTGTAGGGCAATGTTCTGGCTGGTCTTCGTGCACTCTGCAGCCGCCAATCCCTCGTAGTGTCCCAGCAGCTGTCCAAGAAGTTTCTGGTTGAAGGCATGCAGCACTTTGGATGGCAGGGTCTGGGGAACAGCCAGGTTTAAAGCCTGAATCAACTGATGAAGATACGTTTGCAGTGAGAGACGCGGTTGGCTGGGAATGCGTATGGTTGACTGGACGCTCTGTTCCTGCTCCTCATCGCGCTGCTCCAGAGTAAGCGTTTGCCAGAGCTGTAAGGGGATTGTACAGATTATAGTTTATTGCCAAAATACATTTAAGCGGCAATTGTTACCGCAAAATCCCTCAAAACCGCTTCATGACTGATGATCTTTGTAAGCTGTTTCTCGCAGCTGTGAGCCGTCAGGACATCCTCCACAATGAGCAGCCAGAGACTCAGCATCTCGTCTTCAATCAAACCACAAATACGTTGCCAGTGGTCAATGCCCGCACCCGACTGATTCCATTGACGCCAGCTGGGTGGTTGGCAGAAGCACAGCTTCAGGTTGGGGCACAGTTCCACCAATGCCAGACTATTACGCAGAGCCTGGAGCAGGGCAGGACGCTCTCGTAATTGCAGCGACTTCAGTTTGGACAGATACTCTGCAACCTGCTCCTGTGCCGTTTCCCGTAGGAATTTGATCAATGACATCTTATCCTCCGTTCGCGTTGTTTGCTCTTGAAGGAGGACATTCAGCTCCTGGACGATGTCGGCCAGCTGAGAATCAAACTGCTTGCACAGATCAATGGTTGAGGAGTCGTAGCCTTTGGTGCGGTTGGCCAAACGCTTGGGCTGATCGCTGAGTGCCGCTGCCAGGCTCAGGGGCAAGTCATCGTTCTGCTCTTTCCAGATCTGATGCGGTGGCGTCGACACCCCAGCTTCAATCAAAGAAAGCACCTTCTCATAGGTCTGCTTCATGGCGTGAGCCCAACTACTGCGTATGATCTCCCGCACACGGGCATTGATCAGGGGTACATACTTTGTGGCATAAAAGTCCAGCTCGGAATGCTCCAAATGGAGCTGCTGCTCTAGATGAAGAAAGCTTGGCCTGCCTGTGGACCTGGCCGACGATTTGATATCTTGAATGGTCTGCATGTTACTGACCAAAGCGAATATCTGCTGCAGCTGTGTGGCGGCTAAAGCATTCATCTTGTCCAGCCATTGTTGAAGGGACATGCCCAAATGCTTGGGCGACAGTTTTGGGACATCAAACTGCGGCTTGAAGCCAGCTATGATTTCGGGCAAAAGATGAGCCAGCTGCCGCTCGCTGCTCTCCATCCGACTAATGCTGGGCGGGCATGTGGACGCTGAACATTCCGCTAGGCGAGTGAACAGTAGGCCGTTCTCTGAAATCGAAAAAAAGAATATCAGGCGTAGAAAGTCAAATTGATAAGAGTGTGAATAGAAAATGGCAGGTTCAAGTCTGAAACTAGCACGTCGCTGCGGCATTGAGCTCAAGGGAGCTCTGCAGCAGCTCTGCGTGGGTCGCTACTCGGCAGATCTGAAGATCAGTTCCGGGGACTCGTATATGGAGCTGGGCGACCCCTATGGCATCTACTTTCTGGACCTGAATCCGAGTGTATGTTTTGTGCTGTTCCATAATTCGGAGACGCAGCATTGCCATATCCTGATTCCCACCAATGGCACCCTATTCGAGTGCTACAATGGCATTGACAAGAACTCCACGCTGGTGGGTCTGGGCGAGATCAGCTATGTGACCTGTGCCAACCACCATGTGGCCTACACCGATGCTCTGTTGAAAGCCTGCGGGGCAAACATAAATTATAGCCCAGCAACGAGTGTACTCCACTACAGCAAGCAAGAGCAAGTCGGCGATGCAATAACCTCTTTGGCCAGCCGCCTTATGTGTTGGGAATGCTGCTTGATTGTTTTCCTTTTTCTTTTTATTTGCGTAATATTCCGAAGGCATTAATAAAGCGTATTGGATTGGCACTCACCCAGCAGACACTTGTCCAGCAGCTCTATGGTGCTGTTTAGAATGCCCAGACTTGCCAAAATGCGTTCCTTGACACGACGCGGTTCCGTGAGATGGCTCTGGAGGCAATTCAGGAAGGCAGAGGCTCGCAGGTTGAGAAACGTTTGCAGAACAGAGCTAAGATCGCACTTGTCCAGCAGGAGTAGGCTCTGCATACAGTCCACAGCGATCTCTGGGCATAGTTCCTCGCGCTCCAACACGGCTAGTACTGCATGCTTGATGGTAAGGTGGAAGGGCCGTAGAATCTCCCATTGCTTGCGGGCCACGGGCAGCTTTTGCATTAGCGCACTATTGCCATCCAGCTGCAGGCCTGTGCTGATGTGGCGACTGAAGATGAACAGCTCAGTGGCCGCAAAAAACTGTTCGTTGTCAATGTGCGTCCAAATGAGCTCCGGCAGCGACGTCAGCAGCTTGATTTGCACCATTGTGCCATAATAGCTCTGCAGCTTCTTGCTGGCATTTCTCTGCTGCAGCGCCGCGTCCGTGGCGGGCGCCGTTGTCTTGAAGCCCAGGAGCTGCTGCTCATTAAGAATCCGACAATTCGCCTGGACGCAGTGCACCTGCTCGATGAGGGTTGCCGCTGACGTTTGCATGGCCGCAATAGTGTCGGCCGCCTTGAGCAGATCCCTGTACCGCTCTCTTAGGCATTCCAAATAGAGTTTGTTAGTTTTATGCCTTTTCCGATGTGCCACATCACTCTGCCGCACTTACCCCACATGAGTGCGCAGCTCCTCGCGCTTGTTCTCCACCACAGTCTGTATCTTTTTGTGCACTACATCGATCTCGGATACGCTGTGCTGCTCAAACAGCGTATCCACATTTAAATTCAGTAGATTTGCCGTCATTTATTCAAAAATTTAAAAAATAAATAAACATCGATGTTCACTAATCACCGCGTACTTGTCTTAGCCCACTTAAGCCCCCTTTATTTAAATGGTTCTACTACTTGAGGTAAACGGCGGAAAATATTAACGATTGTGAATTATTCTTGAGGATTCATGCCATCTCTCCTCTGAACTTAAAAAACAACCATAATATCTTTCACCTGAACTGCGCTAACATTATTAAATTTTTTATTATTTTCGGTGGAAAATAACCTTGGCTTGTAAAAGGTTAATCGTTCTACGTCCAGGGATGGAAACCATATTGCTTAATTTTGATGTTCCGTCGAAAATTACTAGCTAGAAAAAGCGCCCAGCTATGCCCGCATAATTTTATACAATTAATGTCTATATTTTTCACTTGACTGGTTAATTTTAAACTTTTGCTTTTGTTGGATTTAGTCTGAAAAAAGGTTTTAGTGAAGAAGGAACTTAATAAGACGTACGACGGTTTTCCAGCCACCAACACTTTGACCATCTATCACTGCCTGTTTTGGCTATTCTCTTCGTTTACTCATTTATCTCGATTCCTTTGGGGCCAGGTATCCAACAAATGATAAGTGACTTCTGAGCCATGCTTCTCTTCTACAATGAAGGAGGATGGATTCTTATGGACTTTACAGCAGTCATACAACCACATATGATCACAATATGGCAGTCTGGCACGATCGAAGGCACGCTTTTCTTTTCATTCCTAACAGTTCTGCATACACAGAAGAGAAAATATCAAAATATAGCTTAATTTATTTATTGTCATTTATTATTTTAATTTAAAAAGAATAACAATATTGAATCCCTGTAGCCTATAGGCAGTGTGTTTAATAAAATATAAATGCAGACAAGATCATTCACTGCCCAGCTCCCTGAGCACAGCATTGGCAATCACAATTCGCTGAATTTCGGAGGTTCCTTCGTAGATCTCCGTTACTCGAGCGTTACGGTAGTACATCTCTGCGGGCAAGTCGGTTGTATAACCCATTCCGCCCAGGATCTGGGTGCATTGGTGGGCGCAGTATGTGGCCGCCTCGGAGGCATGCAGCTTAGCCATCGCGGCCTCCTTGGTGATGGGCAAACCATTGTCCTTGAGCCAAGCGGCCCGCCAGGTTAGCAGCCGGGACACCTCCACCCTCGTCGCCATGTCCGCCAGCTTCTGCTGGATGAGCTGCATCCGCGAGAGCTGCTTGCCAAAAGCAATACGCTTCTGGGAGTAGTCTACGGCCAGTTCCAGTGCGGCCTGTGCAATGCCCGTAGCCTGGGCGGCGATTCCAATGCGACCGCAGTCCAGCGACTGCATGGCAATTTTGAAGCCCTCGCCGGGGCCTCCCAGCACCTGGCACTGCGGCACTTGGACGTCGTCTAGCACCAGCTGGCACGTGGAGGAGGCTCGCATTCCCATCTTGCTTTCCTTCTTGCCCACAGACAGACCGGGCACGTCTTTGGCTGTAAGGAAGGCCGTGATACCCTGGTGCTTGAGCGTCTTGTCGATTGTGGCAAAGACGACGCCGCCACTGGCTTCCTTGGAATTGGATATCCATGCCTTGGTGCCGTTTAGCTGGTAGCTATTCCCATCCAACTTGGCCGTGGTGCTGGCGGCGCTGGCATCTGATCCGTTTCCCGGCTCGGACAGGGCATAGAAGGCAATCTTCTCGCCCTGGGTGTAGGGCACCAGAAAGTCTTGCTTCTGCTGCTCGCTTCCGTGGAGCTGTACGGCGCCCAAGAAGAGGTTGTTGACGCCCATTGCAACGGAGACGGCCGCATCGCCACGAGCAACCTCCTCCATGCCAATAGCATAGGCCTGGTAGTCGAGTCCGGAGCCGCCTGAAGGTGGGTATCAAGAGAGCATTTAGAGGTGACGACATGAATTAATCTCACAACCATCTTACCATACTCTTCCCGTACTGTCACCGCCATCAGGCCGAGTTCTCCCAGCCGTCGTATCTGCTCCGCCGGGTGCAGCCCCTCGCGATCATGCTGGCGAGCCCGTGGAGCCAGCTCTGCATTGGCGAAGTCCCGGCAGGTCTTCTGCAGTATCTGGTGTGTTTCGGAGAGAGCTGCCAGGCTGGCAATCCCCCTGCCCCGGCTCGCATTCCAAACGCTGCCCGAGCGTTGACCTGCAAAAGTGGACTCGAAGGTGGATTACGATTGAGTCATCATCGTGGCGTGGATGTGGCGCTCACCTAGCGTCAGAGCGACCCGGACCCTCAACAGCTGCTGCATTACGACAAACTGTTTCCCGACTGTCGATCCCCCGAATGGTTCCAGCTGTTATGTCTCTTTTGCTTTCGCTTTCGCTTTCGTCTGCTTCTTCGCGGGAACGATCGCGCGTCGTGGGCCCCAACTGGCAACAACAACGAGCCTCCAATGGTCTCTCCAATCGGAAACAGCTTTTATATGTATTGCCGGGTTCTTAGGCAGAGGCGTCACCTACGAAGGGGAGGACTGCTCCCATTCTGAAAACCTACAGCTACGTTATCTCTCAAATATTCCGATAAATCATAAATACAGATTTACTATCGGGATGAATATACAGATACCCTGTTTCAGCGGAATCCCCGCTGCCTATGCCTCACTTGTTATTCAACCATTGCTTTCCAGTTTTGCATACATATATATTTTCATTTCAAAAGTTCTTTGTTTCGAGCTTTCTGTTCGTACGGCCACGCGTATGGGTCGGGAGAGAGGTCTGCTGGCGGGTAGGGAAATGGAAAGCGGTTCAACGATTTTCAGAAACGGTTCATATATTGATTCTCCGGCTAGCGGGTATAATTTGCAATTCAAATTCTCGATACACACCCACTTTTGTTGGGGGAACCTTTGTACCAGTGTAGAATTCTCTTTCCATTATCGGAAATCATGTTCCTCGACTTTGATATTCGGTTTACGATTAATAGCTGGATAGGACCCTCAGCCCTAAACACATAAGTTTATCCCACTGATGATTCAATTTTCTACAATATTGGCTAGTTTTTAGTCCTTGCTTTTATTGTATTTTGACTAAAACAAGGCTTAAACAAAATAGTTCACAAATAAAAACAGACGCAATGTTGCTGGTATTTGAAGACATGATGCGTGTATAGGCCTTTGTATACCCTATTTCGTGAATATTATATAAAGATACTGTTTTCCAACATGCTTTCAAACGTAATTAGTAAAGACCTTGTCTTAGATCGCATTTGGTTGGCCGATAATTCGATAAGTTTCTTGTGCAGAAATCCTGATCCCTGTACCAATTCTTGGTCTCTGCAAGAAGACTACTAATTGCAAAATATCGTTTAAAACAGAGACTGACTAGTCTCTGCAATTAGAGCCTAGGATGACAAACATATTCACAATTCTATAACATCCATTTCCCCCAGGGTATGCGAAATGTTGCTAATCCGCGCCATGTTGAGGGACATTGCTGCTGGAATCCCAAATCCTAAAAAAAAGAGAGCAAGGTCCCACCAAACTTGAGCGCCAAATATACATTGTTTGAAAGCGAATGTGCGAAAAGAATTTAAAAGCAATCCATTGGAATAAATGATGCACGGAAACACGATTTAAGATAGCGAAAATTCAAAAAACCTTCGTATGGAAGTTTCTATACACCTTGTTCCTAAATATACCTTTGAAAAAATATGAAGATACTGTTTAAAGTCGCAAGAATTTAGTGCTGTTAAGCGCAAGCATTAATGTCGACTGAACGTGGCGCTGTTAAACGCAATCAGTGCTACCAAACAACAGATTTTGTTAAATTTAGTTCCAGAAATTGCCACTAACAACATTGGTGGCGACACTTACAAGGAGAAACGTCGGCGCGAAGTTCGAATGTGTAGATTATGTTTGCTGCAACGCTTATTCTGGTTTCGGCGCTACTAATCTTTCTTTTCTTTTCCGATCTGTAAGTGATCGTATCAGCGATCGTTTGCAATCAAATGGGCTTTTGTGACAGGATCTCAGTTGGCCCTTTAGATTCATTTTATACTTCATTTTCAGCACGTTTTCCGAAATCACATATTCTCCGTTGCTAAGTTAAAAAAATAACTGTTCCAAAATTATTGAATTTTTCACAAATAATAGATTTTTATTTTAATTTCACATAGACCGATAAAGACAGATATGAATTACTTGATACAGCGCGGAAAACTCCGCCAGCAAGCGATTAATTTGCCGGAAGGACTTCCCGAAATACTTTCGGACATCACACGCGAGGTCCTGCGCTGCCAGCCAACAAAGGAATGCCTCTGCCAGTTCATCATCGACTATCTGCACTCTGTGATTGTGACACGAGAGAAGGCCATGGGTGAGTACTAGTGAAACGAATGGGGAAAGTCTTGGAGTCATCTTCCCTCTCCCTCCGCTTTTGCAGTGGCTAGAAGCATCCTGGACCGTGCTCTGCGCCAGGTTGACAACATCATCTCGGACCTGTGCGTTTGCGATCTGACTAAGGAAAAGTCTGATATGATGGGACAGGTGATGGAGGATTGCTTCCGCAACTTCCTTGAGCGGCGTCGCTGCGAGATGCGCCGCGGCAAGCAGACGATCAGCTTCGAGGACATCGACATACTCGAGGAGCTGCTAGTGAAGTGCAAGTTCTCCGAGGAGGAGCTGGCCTTATCCCGTCCGGCCGTCGAGAGTGCCTACAAGCGTTTCGTGGACGCCTACATGGCGGCTGCCCGTGGCGCCGACGGCACAGAAGTGCTCTACCAGTACTTCCGAGATCGGGAGCTCAAGCGCATGCGCGAGGCCATGCGGGAGCACTCGGCCACCATTATCCAGGCCGCCTGGCGCGGCTATCTAGTGCGCGCCAACCTGCCACAGCACATATGCACCTGTACCTGCATGGAGGTAGGGTTTCCGTTTCCTTTTCCTTTTCCCTTTCCCAGATCTCATTTGTTTCGGTATTCCCACATTTGTAGGTTGATGAAGCTGCTAATGAAGAGGAAATGCGCATGGATCACGCTGCTCGCGTCATTCAGCGTTTCTTCCGCAACTGCTTAACGGTTTGACAGATCCCCGTATCTATATATTTCTTGAAACTAATTTCCTTTTTGCAGCACATGGATCTGAAGCCCATTGTAGATCCCTGTGGGGATGTGACGGAATCGTCCGAAAAGGACAGCAGCACCCCGAAGGAAGCGACGGCGAAGGCTGAGCCAGAGGAGGATAAAACTCCTCCGACTCCTCCTCCAACTGCTGCCGATACTGTCGTAGTCACTGCCCAACCTTCGGAGGTTGCCTCCGAGGTTCCCTCGCAGCAGGCACCAGGACAGGAAGCCGTCGCTGCAGAGTCTGAAGGAAATGCTGCTCCAGAACCAGTGGCTGAAGAAGCGGCTCCAGTGGAGCCGACAGAAGCTGTAGAAGAGGCCCCGGCAGGAGAAGAAGCCCCTCCCACCGCAGAAGAGGCACCGCCAGAGGCAGCAGAAGAACCACCAGCAGAAGAGTCACCAGCAGCTCCTGAAGAGACACCACCACCACCGCCACCAGAAGAGGAAGCCCCAGCCGCAGTTGCAGAGGAAGAAGCTCCACCTGAGGAAGCCCCGGCCGAGGCACCAGTCGAGGCACCAGCCGAGGCACCAGCCGAGCCACCAGCCGAGGAATAGAATTGAAACGAATTAGTTCTGATTTATAAATTTATGTTATCTGCATGTTGTTAAGAGAGGTTTCTCTATTACTCTATGTGGTCTTGTATCCATCCACTGAACGTGGACACTCGAGTGTAGACATCCGGGGAGATGTAGAGACCGCAGACCATCAGTCCATAGGACACGATGCCAACCTGCTTCAGTCCATTCTCCGTTTGCATGACCAGCGGTCCGCCAGAGTCGCCCTGAAAGAAGGACAGATGCGGATTGGGATTCAATATCTTTAAATGGAATCCAAGGACTTACCGAACAGGCGCCTCTGAAGGGACCTCTGGCGCAGATCTCCGTATCCGTGACACTCTCCATGCCCGCCTCTCTGCACTGCCTATTTCCTATCGTATGATAGCTCATGCGCTGAAGTGTGTTCGGATAGTTGACGTTGTCCAGGAAGGGAAAAGGAACAGGCAGTCGCAGACCCCATCCTGTGAGTGTTACGGGAACTCCGCCACCGACAAACTCCTTTCGCTTTGCCGTAAACTCTATGGCCCTGATGCTGACATTGTTCATCTCCAGCGGCGGCTCAATGAACAGCACGGCTACGTCGCTGGTGACTAGCTCTTGATATTTTGGATGTATGCTGTAGGACACCACCTGAGAACGTGAACCACTCTCCTGAAGGCTGCGTATCCCGGCCACAACTGTCATCCGCGATGCATTCAGTCCGCGACAGCAATGGGCAGCCGTTAGGATGCGATTCGGAGATATAATAGAGCCGCCGCAAAAGTGCGCCTGACCGCCGCTGGTTCTGTACTGCATGGACACCTGATAGGGAACGTACTCTCCAGGCGGAACATCCGAACCACCAACTATTCGAGTGGGTGGGTCTTCACTGAGCTGACGAGCTGGAAAGGGTAGCAGAATATAAGCTCTTGAGTGGTTTAGGGAGTTATTTTTAACCAAACACACAATTAAGACGCGCTGTGGCCCCTCCGGCAGAGAGTGCCGCGAGCAGCAGAATCTCCGTTAGCCCCATCGTTGGTTGTTTGGTTAATGTCAGTGGTTTTGGGCCTGACACTAGACTTATATAAACACCATTTAGCTGAGCCCCCATTAGAGGGGGAATTTGCATAGATATCGCTGCAGATATGTGGGCCAACTCGCAAACTTGGTTATGGCCATTAAATTTGATCTTGAAATTCAAAATATAATGGGCCATTCTGCGGGTATTCGCAATGTTGGTGGAGAATAACCTAGTTAAAGTATTCAAAAATACCATTATCACATAGAGGTGTTACCTTCTAAAAAGAAATAGAGTGAGAGAAAAACTCGTAATTTCCATATTCAAAATCATCTTTATTGATCAAAACAGAGGCAAAGTTTAATAGTCTTAGGACATGCGTTCTGCAATCCAGCCATCAAACATGGAAACCCTGGTATAGACATCAGGACTGTTGGAGGCACAGAAAGCAGTGCCATAGGAGACGACGCCCACTTGCTTGAGAGACTCCCCTTTCTGCATCACCAAAGGACCGCCAGAGTCGCCCTGGAAATTAGTGAAAATATGACCAAGTTTAAGAGATCAGCAATCAGTTATTAAAGTGATTAAAGGAATCCACCACTCACATTGCAAGCACCCTTGCCAAATCTCTCCAGAGCACAAATCTCAGTGTCCGTGAGCTGCGTCATGGTCTCTTTGCATCTGGCATTGCTGAGCGTCTTGTAGGAGAGCTTCTGCAGCACCGTGGGATACTTGGCAAAGGGACCAGTGCCAAAGTGAAAGACAGAGCCCCAGCCAGTGAGAAGAACCTCCTGATCGGCCCCCACCTCTTCCGAGCCGCTCACATCGATGGTGGACACACGCTTTTGATCCACCTCGAAAGGAGGATCGATCTTGAGGATGGCAATGTCGCTGGTCACTAGCTCCTGGTAGTTCTCGTTCATCTCGTAAGACTGCACCTGAGAGCGATGGCCAGTGCTGTCATTCAGATCCCTAATGCCAGCCACCACCGTGATCCTGCTGGCATTCTGTCCGTTGACGCAATGAGCGGCAGTCAGGACGCGATTGGGTGCAATCAGAGAGCCACCACAGAAATGCCGCTGCTGGCCGCTCCGTGTGAGGAACTGCATGGACACCTGATAGGGCACATACTCATCCTCGGGCACATCGTAGCCACCGACAACGCGTTCCTGGGAATTGGTGTCCGCCTCCTCGAAGTACGCATCCACTGAGGATAGTCGGGTATTAGTATTTTTGCCTCTATTCTTTCCAAAGTTTGACTTACAATCAATGATGCGTCCCATGGGTTTGCCTTGGATCACCTCCACTCCCATCAGAGCTACAAAGAGCAAAATCAAAGTAGTGCCTACCTTCATGTTGAATAGAGCTTTGTGTGCCACTGGAACTGCATCTGGGCCTTATATAGTACACCCTGCTGGAAAACCTACACAATGAAATTTGAATTTTATCGAGTGCAGCTGTGGGTGGTCACTGTCACCCGCCTCACGTAATGGGTAACAAGGTCGCCATGGTAGTGCCGTGCCGTGCAGTGCAGTGATAGCAAAAGAAGGTCTAGACGGTAAAAATTGTCAGTTGGAACACAGAAATCATGGCATGGAGAGGTAGAGGCGGCTGCTTCCGCAGTTCTTGGTAATAACACCTACGCAAAGAACCCAAGAAGGGCAGTCAGAGCACCAGACCAGACCAGTGCCTCCTTTCAGTGAGATCTGTCTCACAGTTTTAATCAGCGTATAATTTAAATATTCCGATTAAACAAGCAGCGCCCTGGGGCCTCGGACAGCGGACAGCGGACAGCGGACATTTCTTTTAATTCATTGTCGAGTGGCAGACAAGGAGACCTGCCGCTGGCAATCAACACCTCGGACACCTCGGATGCTGCCAGTCCTGTTCTGCCTTCCAGCCAGACTATCTCACATGTTCGATGCAAATCAGCCTCAGCTTCAGCTTCAGTTGCAGTTGCAGTCAGGAGACTTCTTCCTCAGTGGCCGATGTCTGGGCGGGCTCTGTGAGTGCTATCTGGTCTACATTCGGAGTCAGAGACAGAACCATGTGTCAGTTCCGGGGCTGATTGCAGCCAGCTAATGAATCATTTTGCTGCTCCTTTTTGGGTGGACCTGGTCTGTGGTCTCTGTGGTCTGAGTGTGTGTGGCGCACTGGCGCAAATTAATTATGCACACCTCTCGGTTTCGTTTCGTTTCGATTCTGTTTCTGTTTGGGCTGTGGCTTCGACTGGAGCTTTGGCTTTGGCTTGGGCTTGGGCTTGCCCGTTGTTGAGGTCTTGATCTTTGGACTACTGTGTTAATTGTCCTGGGTTGCGTTGCAGCGCCGAACCGATTTGAACCTGAAATGGCTTTATTATATCAGGCTATACGAGGAGTACCAAAGCCAAAGCCAAACACAAACACAAACCCAGACCCCACCCCACACCCCACATACAGGATGTAGATGTGGCTGTGGATCTGACTCTGACTCGCACTGTGGCGCCTGCCGTGTTGCCTTATGGCTGGCTTTTGTTAATTGGACCACCCTGTCAAGGCATGACTTATCTGCGGATTTTTATTCTTAATTCCCGCATCTAATTTGCATGTGAGCTTCGCCTTGAGCGTGAGCCAGGCTGACAGGTTAATCCCTGTAAAAAACTCATTAGGCTTTGTTCTAGCCACAAAAATGTTGATTAATGGAACCTAGAGAGGCACTTCCCCTGCTTCATTTGGTTATTTTTCGCTCCAGCCCTGACTAAAATTCACTGCGAACTTTTATTCTCATAACTCAAACTCCAACTCCTTTCTGCAATTCCACAGATGATGCTCAAAATTCTGGCTAATAAAATGCATTTTAATCATTTCATCAGCAATTTTTCAGACCAGACCTCCAGATCCGTTCCGATCCGATCCGACCCCTTCCTTTGAGAAGGGTTTATTGGATCGTTCGGTGTTAACAAGATAAGCATCCTGCTCTGGCCCGTCTGCTCCGACGGGACGCCATCATTATTATGACATTTTGCTTGATTGCCTGCCTCTCGTCTCGGGGATCGGGGATCGCGGATCGGGTCTCGGATCTCGGTTGGCCCTCATTCAGGGCCATGTTCTTCGTGCCAACTTCTGTAGAATTGTGCGTGTGGCCAAGAACGGAGCCAAGTTATTGTCAGTGCAATTTTTATGAGTTTTTTGTTTTCGGCTTTTTGTGAGTGTTTCTTGTTTGTCTCTTTGCCGCCGCCACTGCCACCGTCTTCAATGTGATTTATTTGAGAAGTTCTTAAAGCAGAGCCGCTGGTTTTATGATGTGAAAGGAGGAGGAGGAGGAGAAGGAGGAGGCATAGTGCCAGGGTCTCATATGCTAGGGGTCGAAGCCCAGTAGCCCCAGTAGTCAAAGGTGGAATTATAGTGATTGCCTGAATGGGGGATTGTGAATGGGATCTTTGCTCTTGGGAATGTGCCAATGGAAGATGGATTTGTTCTGGCTTGGATCTCGTAGTTGTCCAGCTCGTATGCAAATGATTATGACTGACAGCATAAATTAACAAGATCAGCCAGGACAACATATACGCGTACACGCACTCCAGAATGAGTTTTCCACTCTCTCAGGCAATTAATTTTGGTCTGGAAAAAAGCGAGCGGAAAATTAATTGCGTGTTTTGCATAATCAGTAAATTGGTCGTTTATTTTAGTACTTAATTTGCTTGGCATCGCCTCGCAAGGTGCACACTGTGCAGTGCACTGTGCAGTGCCTCACCTCCACGTTCCCCCACATGATTCCACTGGTCTTATGTATATAAATTATGACTCCCAGGTACGGAGCATGCAGCGATCTGGCATTGGCTTCGCTCCGACTCAGACTTGGGCATTGGGCAAATTAAACAGATTTTTATTTGCAAATCAGATAAGAGATCATGCCACGGAGCACAGTGCAGATACCCAGATGCAGATACAGATGCCCAGATACTTGTGTTGTGTGTGGAATCAGATACAGATACAGATACAGCTACAGCTAGCATTGGCTTAATATTTATCGGTCGCGTGAGCTTGTTACCTAATTGATGACAACAGGTAGGCGCTTCTGTCAAGCGATGTCTCTGGGGCTCCAGATGGGATATGATGGGAGGTTCGGTTCGCTGATCTCCGCCAGGTTATGATAACCAGGCACGCAAGGGACGAACAGCGGGTGATCCAATTGGACTACTGTTTGGCTCTCTAGCAGTTGATCCTTAGAGAAGATACTTCTGTGGTTCCGTATTGGTATCTTGCTGTCATTATTCATCTCTATTTATATCCCTACTTGCATGTATAACCCAAATGGAAGCCCAATTTCGGCAGATTTCAAGTTCACAAACATTTACATGTCGATATGTAAGTGGTGCTCTCGTACAAGACCTTAGCCCAAATAAATTGATAAGCTCAACCCCCAATTGGGAGGTATAAAAACCATGGGGGGTTATCATTTCCAACTCATTCGCGTCGGAGTAAAAGTGCCACCAGCACTCGTAATGTTCGCCATAAAGCTATTCTGTCTGTATCTAAGTGTGACCATGGCTGCCACCTGGGTAGCCCCCGCAAAAACCTCAACAGATCCCATGCGGAGCATGGAAACCGCAGCAGCAGATCCCATTAGGATTAATGGCGGCCAAATGGTGAACGAGACGGTGCCCTTCCAAATCTCGCTGCAGGTGCAGCGACGTGGACGCTGGAGTCACTTCTGCGGGGGCTCCATCGTCAGTGCCCAGCATGTCCTCACGGCCGCCCACTGCGTGGAGAAGATGAAGGTGGAGAACATCAGTGTGGTGGTTGGCACCCTTAACTGGAAGTCCGGGGGCCTGCGCCACCGGGTGGTGGCAAAGCATGTGCATCCGCAGTACGCGATGAGTCCCCGGATCATCAACGACATTGCCCTGGTCAAGGTGACGCCCCCATTCCGCTTGAATCGCGCAGAGATCGGTACCATCCATCTGGGTGGAACGGATCGCATTGGCGAGAAGGTGGCGGTGCGGCTCACAGGCTGGGGATCAACCACTCCTGCCACCTCCTCGGCCAGCCTGCCGGATCATCTTCAGGCGCTGCACTACAGCACCATTTCGAATGAGGAGTGCAACCAGAAGGGTTTCCGTGTGACCCGGAATGAGATCTGTGCCCTGGCTACCCACGGACAAGGGGCATGTGTGGTAAGAAAATAGATATTTCCTAGATATATGACAGATCTGATCAGATATCCCTCACAGGGCGACTCTGGTGGACCTCTAATCCTGGCTGGCTCTCGTCCTCAGCTGGTGGGCATTGTCTCGTATGGGTCCTCCACCTGTGCCCAGGGCAGGCCCGATGTCTACACACGTGTCTCAAGCTTCCTGCCCTACATCAGCAAGGTGATCAACCAGGATCTGGCCTAATAAATACATTCGGACAACGTATAAATAAAGCAATCTCATCGCTGCACCAGAATAAGTTCCTTGGAGTCTTCGTATTTAGTTTCTCTCCCCTTTCGTTCGTTTTGGCGACTAATTAAAAATCTTGTTCAATATTCGCCACACAGTGGGGAGGAGGAGTGAGAGGAGCATTTACTGGAGTCTCCTCTTCATGGTCTAGGCTTGGCCCGTCTCCAGCGAGAAACTCGGGCTGCCGCTGCCGCCTGACGCTGCAGCCTGCCAGGGCGACCATGATAAATGCAAAAAGCAATTTATCGCACATTTAACTCAATTCAGTTTCTTTATGGACAGTCCCCCCGAAGGAGGCTGTGCCGTGCCGCCGGAGGAGGAGGCAAGAAGGAGCAGTAGGAGACTGCCACAAAGTTTCGCTGACACGCACACACTCCACTCCACTCCCAGAGGCTGGAACATAGACCGAGGTTTGTGTTTGGGTCTGGAAGTGGAACTGGAAATGGAACCGAGGACTGCGTCGCGTCTGAGGCCTGTGCGCCTTGTAATTCGATATTAGATTTTATGTGCGACAAATACGAAGTGCAAACATTTTTATGTTTCTGCAATTTCTATGCTGCATTTTGTATTTGTAGTGGAAACGATTTGCCGGGGCGCCGACTTTGACTCCAACTTTACCTTCGACTCCGCTTCGCTTTGGCTGTGCCATCGGCTGGGGCTTCAGCTGCGTCTGTGGCTATGGTTTCGGCGTGGACTCATGGATTACTTCTCCGACTGGGCTGTGTAATTAAGTTCAAATAATGTGGAGCTCATGGTCTTGAGTTTGGATTCTTTTAAGCAACACCAGCCAACATAGTTGTGTGTCTGATTCATGGCTAAATATCAATACAATCGTTGGCACCATAAACGTGTTACGAACTAAGCCTCTCAGGCTAAGGTTTTCCAATCGTAAATCTGTATCATGTATGTAGCTGCCAAAGGGACCAACGCCCTAGAGTGTAGTGTAGCCTGTAACTAGTCTCTAACATCCCTTACAACATTTGTAGGACAGTGTCAGTTTCGTTGCTCGTTTCACGCTCTCAATTTACTAGCTGAAACCTCGGCTACGCTACGGTCCACGAGAGCATAACATCGAAAATCTGGCACTCGGCCGCACTCCCCACATACAGACATACATGTATGTATATATGTACGTACATAGAAAGATAGCTAAGAGCGGGTCAAAGAAGTGCAAGAGTAAGCCGAACTGAACCGAACATATAACCATCTCCATCTCCAACCCCATCCCATCCCATCCCATCCCCAGCACTATCCGTATGGCGGACTGTGAGTTGCGAGACTCTGTGCTGAACATATAAATTCATTTAGATCAATCAATTCAATTTGTTTGTCAATAAGACCTAAATGAGTATTTCATTTAAACAAATTAAAATTCGACCCATTTGAAATTCCAGAGGCAGCAGCCCGAGGAAGAAGCCCACACCACAGACCCAGCCCCATCCAAAAAGCGAACCCAGGGACAGGGACAGCAATTAAAATTGACGCGACACACTTGATTCCCTGATTTCTTAAACGAACGCAATGAAAATATACACATATGAATATGAATATAAATATGAATATGCCTGGACTTTAGCTCGGTTCAGACCCAGTTCGAGACCGAGACCCACAGATCCAGACCCTGAGAGCAAGACCGCAACCAAGACCGAGAACTATTGCCCAGAGACCAAGAGACCATTGCCCATCTCTGTTGACTTTTCATTGTCAATTAAAATCAAATAAATTTATTTGCTGCATGACTTTCGCTCGCTGTTGTTCTCGCCACAGTTCTTGGTCACAGATTCCGATTCTTGATTCCCAGTTCCGCGGCGAATTGTTTTTTTGTTTGTTTGGCATGCAAGTGGATTGAACATCGATTATTTTCGACCTTGTCCACCTTTGTCGGGTATCGAAAATGGGTTAAAGATAGATCAAGTCCGACTATTTGGCCTTGCCCTGGTTGGCCACAGCCTCCATGGCCTTCTTCACCGTCTCGGGATCACCGAGGAACTTCAGAGTGCCTAAAGGCTTCAAAGACTCATCCAGCTCGTAGACAAAGGGTATTCCCGTGGGCAGATTGAGGCCCATGATGGCTTCATCAGATATGCCCTCCAGGTGCTTCACCACACCTCGCAGACTGTTCCCATGAGCGGCTACCAAGACTCGCTTTCCCTCCTGGATCTGGGGTACTATCACGTCGTTCCAGTACGGAAGACAGCGCTCGATTGTCAGCTTGAGGGACTCAGACTTTGGAAAATCCTTGGGATCCAGTTGATCGCAATAGCGCGAATCGTTCACAATGATGTCATAGTACTTGTGATCCTTCTCCATTGGAGGCGGCGGGGTGTCGAAGCTGCGCCGCCAGATCTTCACCTTCTCCTCGCCAAACTTTTTCGCTGTCTCTGCCTTGTTGAGGCCCGTCAGGCCGCCATAGTGTCGCTCGTTCAGGCGCCAAGTCTTGCAGATAGGAATCGTCTTATGACCACTGGCCGATAGTGCAGCCGCCAGGGTTTCCTGTGCCCGCGTCAACAGCGAGGTGTAGGCCACATCGAATTCCATCTTGGCCTTCTTGAGTGCTACTCCTGCCGAACAGGCCTCCTGCAGACCCTTCTCGCTCAGCCTGGCATCGAACCAGCCGCAGAAAAGATTTTTCTGGTTCCACTCGGACTCGCCATGCCGCACCATCACGACCTTGTACAGGCCCTTCTTCTTCTCCTGGCATGAATCCTTCGAGTATGACTTGGAGTGGGAGTGGGAGTGGGAGTAGGCGTAGGAGTTCGAGTTCGAGTAGGAGCAACTAAATATGGGACAAAGTTTCATCAGTTCAATGAAAACGTGACTTTCCAATGGTTTTCTAGCAAGAGCCAACATTTTATCAAACTTAATTTTGTCAAGAATTTATATATTTTATAATTCCGTTTCAAGCTCAAATTTTCAAAAAATTGTTGACTACTTTATCAGACTACTTTTCAAATGATATGTTTCAGATCCATATGGTTCAGATCCACTGCTATCCATATTGACATTGAAATATTTGAGAAGCTGAAGCGATTCTGCGGTTTTATTATTGTTTATATAGGGGAGAAAAACGCAGTGAACTTCATCCTACAAACGATAAAGCCTCGAAAAAATAAACCTCAGGTCAAGATTTTTTCGAGACTTTAGCGTTTTATTAGCAACTTTTTTAATCCCTTCGCTGCAGTTCCAGTAGAGGTTTCTTAGCAAAATCTATACTTAGATTTTCAATGAATACAAAATCCTCAGTACGAAAGCTGGTACTTAACTTATAGTTCCTTAGAATCTTTGACAGGGCAACCTTGGCAGCTATTTCTGCATATTTCATGCCTGTAAACAAAAAACACTTTTATATAAATTCAAACATATCGAATAGCCAACCTACCTATGCAACTTCTCTTTCCTTTGTTGAACGGAATGTAAGCGTACTGATGAATTTTCGAAATATTTTCGGGAAGAAAGTTGTCGGGGTTAAACTTGTCTGCCTCTGGGCCCCAGGAATCCTTGTTGCGGTGCGTGTGGAATATGTCGAGACACAGAGTCAGGGATTTGGGTAATAGGATGCCATTGGATAGCTTAACTTCTTGGGAGGTCTCCCGTGCTATCAATGGAATCGCTGGGATCAACCGCAGAGACTCGTTCAGCACACGATCCAAGTACACCAGTTTCTGTATCTCATCGTTGGAGACCTCAAAGTCTCCTGCATTTGGAAAGACGTCTTTAAGCTCTACGAAGGCGGCATCTTGATACTCGGGGAACATGGCCAAAAAGGTAAGAGTGCTAAAGACTGTTACGGCGGTTGTCTCGAAGCTAGCCCCAACCATGATACTGCACTCGCCCTCGGCATCTTCGTATGAAAATTCTCCGCTTTTTATAAATTCCACAACCCGACTGATCACTGTGTTCCTGATCGCCAAGGACTCTTGATTTTCATCTGGTGTATTGGTCATCTTTTCTTCGATTAACTGAAACGACAATTTTTTTTAAATGTATTCATTGCATTAAATGTATTATTTACGGTTTTCGTCAGTTCATTCACGACAAACGTCGCTTCTGTTCTTCGCTTTTCAATTCCCAACAGCTTTGCGATAGTTCTGTTCTGAACCAACGGAAATAATATCGCCAGTGTTGTATTTTCCATAGTACTAAAGAGTTTTTAAGAATTACGATTTTTCATGAGGCCAAGTAATTAAAATCTTACTACTTGAAGTTTTTCAATAGTGTTCCATTCTTGAAGCTTGTATTCGCCTTCACATCGCTGCCCAATGTTGTTTCTAAAGATACATAGATATTCTTAGATGTTTAAGGTATTTACCTATAGAATTAAGTATATAGATTGCTTACGATATGCGGTTCTAAAGGACCAGTTTAACACGTTCGGTAGTATTTCTCTCTCACCCTGACCCACAAAAGTGTCCAGCACGGACAATAAGCTATTCGTCTCCTCGTTGAAGATCGGAAGGAAGCTCATCACTACATTCTTCTTGAATGCTGGAATCATCTTCCGGCGACGCTCAACCCAATGTGACCCTACATAATCGAGGAGAACTGTTACTTGCTGGGGTATTCAATGGTTGGGTCATACATGTACCTCGTAATGCTAGAATTCCCGGTCCAGAATTCATTATTATTGCATTGCACGCAGTCTGGCTTTTGTCAAGGCAATGGGGAGACGTTAAAATATCCTGGATTACATTTGGCTCACTTGTCACTAGTACTGGCACTGTTCCCATCCACATGAGGAAGGTCGGTCCATATTTCTCGGCCACTTTACCTGCTAGGCCAATATTACCTGTGGATATTGCGGATTTGTAAAGAATAACGCTAATCGTCTTTTGTGAGGTTTCATTCACGTTTATTCCGTAGAAACCCTACGACACTGCCCAAGAACGGATATCCTACAGGACCCTTCACCCTCAGCATCAGTAAGTAAAATCTCCGTCGGCTCCACAGAAAGTATATCCAGGCAAGTATCCCCACAGCTATCCACAGTTGCAACGTGATCATTATTTGACTGAAACTCTGATATTACAATTTGAAGTACAGAGCCTCAACTGTATAAGCTTTTATATGAAAAATTTTTAGGTGAGAATGAAACAGTCAACATTAGGTATACTTTTTATATAGTATAGCTGAAACTCTGATTTCACAGATTGAAGTATCTTTGAGGCTCTGTATAAGCTTTTATACGAAAACTTTTTAGGTGAGAATGAAACAATCAACATTACTTTTTATATAATATTGCTGACCCGGCAGACGTTGTTCTGCCAAGCAACAAAAAATGTTCTTAATTAAATGTGGCTAAATTTTAGCGAACCATTTTGAGATGACCCGGTGAACTTTTATTCGCCTTAAAAGCAAAAAAAGATTTTAGATTTTATCATTATTATTATTATTTTTGTATTTTAACGATTCTTTAATAGGTTGTTTTACTTTGTTCTTTTTTTTGGTTTTTTTTTCTTCAGTCCAGCACCTTTTTTTGTTCTATGCAAACAATGCAGATGGTCTTCCGATCCGTGAACATGCCACATATAATTGGCCATGGGAAAAACATTGATTATCCAAATTCAGACCACAAACTTTCAAGGATCGGCCTTTCGATTTGTTAATAGTCAAGGCGAATGCAAGACGTATCGGAAATTGAAGTCCTTTAAACTCAAAACGGCAATCGCTTATTTCGTCGGAATTACTGGCAGTTTTGGGCGGAAATCGCCAGACAGTAGAATCATAGCGCCACAAAAATATCTCCCGTCATTGCGTAGATCTTTCAATGTTCAATGTTTCAATTATTCATCGAACTAACTTTCTTTGTAGTTTCTTCACCATTCAATGGACTTATCATCAACGCATGATGGTCATTAAGTACATAGTTGCTGCACATCTTTAAGAATTACTCTTTGCATTTAGCTCTTGACGTCGATCAAGTTTTTATTCCATTTTTCCAATGAAGTATATTTGCAAAAAAAATTTTATTTTATAAATCAAAAATAAAATTTTTTGTTTAACCAAGTGGTGTATTACCATACATATAAAAATATTCTTGATGTATGATTCATATGTCACATCGCATGTCCTTCAAATACGAATATTAAGGATCCTACGCTACTTGGTTCAAAAAAGTATATTAAATTCGACAAGTTATGGAATAACTCTTATTTGTACCTTTTAAAGTATCAAAAATACCTCTTTTTTATTGAAAAATGTAGATATAAGTGTTATTTTTGTTATTCGGCATTTTTTAATGCAAATGAATAATAAGCTTTATTTTTGATTATTTCAAATAAAAATAGAAAAAATAATTGTTATTCAGAAAACTTTTTTTTTAAAACTTATAACAGTCACGGTCCCTGCTAAGTAGTTATAAGTATTTCTTTTATATGTACATACATATTACAGCCAATTGACCTTGTTCTGCCAGGAAAGGATCCAAACTTGTATTTGCAACAAATTAGTGCAGCTTTTATTCTATAGTCTATATTTATTATATTCAGCAGAAATATCGGCATTCCTTTTAATGTTGAATATGTGTGTGACTTATAGTAATCACAGTTTATCAAAACTACTTCAATCACCTCCTATGTTGCAATTCAAGAAGTGGTTGCTCCTTAAACTCTAGAACAATATTATCAACGAAGGAGAGATCCTCAAAGCGAAAGCTTGTGCTTAGGCGAAAGTTTCTCAGAATCTTGGCTAGGGCAATCTTTATAGATATCTCTGCATATTTCCGGCCTGTAAATACAGAACACTATAATATCCATTCGAAGATGTAGAACAAAATAAAACTACCAGCGCAATTTCTCTTTCCCCTATTGAACGGAATGAAAACGTATGGATGCCTTTCTTGAATGTGTTCGGGGAGAAAGTTGTCTGGATTGAAGGTATCCGCCTCCAGGCCCCAGAAATCCTTGTTGCGGTGCGTGTGGAATATGTCGATGGCCACTGTAACACCTTTGGGGATCAGAATACCATTTGACAGTTTCAAGTCCTCTGTGACCTCCCGAGGAATTAAAGGAAGAGGAGGAAGCAACCGCAAGGATTCGTTCAACACACGATCCATGTAGACCAGTTTCTGCAGGTCATCGTAGGACACCTCAAAGTCTCCTACATTTGGGAAGACATCCTTAAGCTCTTCAAAGGCTGTATCTTGATATTCGGGGAACATGGCCAAAAGAATAAGAGTATTGAAGACTGTTATGGCCGATGTCTCGAACCCAGCAACAATGGTAAGAATGCACTCGCTCTTGACATCTTCGTAGGAAAAATCACCACTTCTTAGGAAGTCTATAGCCCGATTAATCACTATATTCCTGCTCGCCAAGGATTCTTTGCTTTCATCTGCTTGTGTCTTTAGCTTTTCCTGTAGGATCTGAACGGGGAAGAGTTTTAAATTATACTTTTAACGCTAAAATGGCTTACTTACAGACTGCAGAGATGCATTCAGATGAATCATCGCTTCTGATTTTCGCTTTTCAAAGCCGAAGAGCGTTGAGATAGCCCGGTTCTGGAGCCACGGAAATGTAATTAAGTGATATGTCACTTCAATAAGACTAGAACATTTTTGAGAATTACGAATTGATGTTGTTTGGATTAGCTCAAATTATTTCAATCGTACTTGCTGATTTTTTTTACTATTGCCCCATTCATAATGCTTGGATTATCCTTTAAATCGCTGCCCATTGTCGATTCTATATATTGAAGATATATAGTCATTGATGGTTAATAAACTACGAGATGGATTGCTTACGAATGGATGTTCTAAAGGACCAGTTTATGAACTCAGGCAATAGTTTTTTTTCACCCTGGCCTACAAATGTTTCCAGCAAAGATATCAGGCTCTTCGTCTCCTCATTAAACAGCGGCAGGAAGCTCATTAGGACATTGTGCCTGAATGAGGGATTCATCTGCTTGCGACGTTCAACCCAATGTGATCCTAATTCAGAAAAAAGTGTTCTTAATAAGAATGATATGATATGGATATATATATATATATAATCCTGTATCGTTTAATGCAAAAGTTGCTGGGCCACAAATAAGACGTAATGGATTGCACGCAATCTTGCTCTTGTCCAGGCAATGGGGAGACGTTAAAACATCCTGAACAACATTTGGCTCACATGTAACCAGGACTGGCACTGAACCAATCCATGTGAGGTTGGTTGGGCCATACTCCTGGAATTGCTTACTGCGTTGTTCCATGTTGTCTGGAGATGAGAAGTGTTAATTTAGAATAAAATTAATTGTATTTTTCAGGCTCTCAATCACGTTTATTCCGTAGGTACTCCACGGCAACGCCAAGGAATGGATATCCAACAGGACCCTTCACCCTCAGCATCAGTAAGTAGAATCTCCGTCGGCTCCACAGAAAATATATCCAGGCAAGTATCCCCACAGCTATCCATAGATGCAACGAGTACATTTTGTATTTTAATATAATAATTTCGTAATTTGGTGATTGGGGAGATTTTCGCTACTGATTTGTTTGGGAGGGCCTCAAGTGTGCTTTATATAAAATTGGCAGGGATTTGCCTAAGTAATTATAAGTATTTCTTTTAGATATACATACATAATATAAAACACCCATATCTGGAGCTAATTGAAGCTAATTGCACCTTGAGTGGCCATTAAAGGTTCAAAATTTTTATGTGTACAGATGAGTACAGTATGACTTTATTCACAGCCAACTGGCAGTGGAATGACACAGGTGCACGTAAAGAAATTACATTTTTCAGGGTTCATTCCTAGATCATCTACATATTCCAGAGTGTTTATTCTTGTAAGGTACCTCCTTTCTATTCGCTCTATCGACTCTTCATCGATCATTCATATTGGGTAGAAAATCAATTAAGCCGCGAATCGTGTCAACTGCTTACCAGTCTAAGACGCCGCTTACCCGGCTTAGACCCCAAAGTTGTTGCTCAAAAGAGTAGACAAGAAGCTGGACCAGAGCGAA